ACTCCCACGTTGCAACACGCAGGCACAAGCCACATTTATTCCAAACGCCATGAGCTTACTTGAAGGCAGTGGTGGCGGCACCAGGGTGATGCTGGTTTGGGTGTAGGCAGTAGAGTGCCAGTGACACGTGCATCGCATCAGTCAGTCGACACAGGTGTGTGAGAGACGGCGAGCGCCGTGCACATCCACTGTCATGCCTCTTCCCTGTTGTTTTCAATGAGAGCGTGTGCGTGTGTGTTTGTGTGTGCATGTTTGTGTGTGTGTGTGTGTGTGTGTGTGTGTGTGCATGTTTGTGTGTGTGATTTTGAGTGTGAGTGTGTGGAGAAGCGTGCCCGCACGCAAGAAGGCTGTCTTTCTGTCTGGGTTCCTCCACGCACAATCGCAGCGACACACACGCCTGCTGTTGTCATCTTTCAAGAGCAAGACAGAGACAACACAAAGCACAGAGAGAGAGGCGCACACAACCCCTTCTGCCTGCAGTGCATCTCTAGTTGGCTGGCTGCAACAACAGAAGAGGCGCAGAGCCCACGACTCTTATCACTCACCACCATTGTCGTCGTGGTTGTCTTCTGCAGCACAGCAGCTTGTTTGCTGTCTGTGCTTTTGCTTGCAAGCACGAAGCAGCAACAGCATTGTTCGGCACCGTCCTGAATTCAGTTTTTTGCAGAACCAAAAACACACGACCCTGACCAACGCTTCGCAAACAAAACGTGGTTGAGTGAAAGTTGTTGGGTTTCTGGCAACCCATGCACATGCACTCTTCCACTCCACCAGCACCTCCTCGCTCATCGTCCACTGACGGACCTTCCCTTGCCCGTTCCCTTGCCATCAAGGCAACGCAGGGAACGAACACATGTTGAGACGTGTTGCAGTGGGCCAAAGCGCCAACCCTGACAACCCCCAACCCTGACAACAACTAGAACTTTTTCGCATGGAAAAGGTGTTTTTCCCTTTGTTGTCTCCTTGCTGCGTGCCCAGTGGCTGGAACGAAAGTCATGGCGACGTCTAGGATGTGGGTGTGGTTGTGTGGCTGCCAGCTGCAGCAGGGAGATGGGAGATGATGATGGTTGGTGGGTGGTTGGCGCTTTGACATTTTTCCAACCACCTCGACAACCATCGGAAGTCACACTCCAGCACACACTCACACAGCGAGGACATCACCCACAATTACCCCATACCGGCCACAGTCTCTTCCACAGAATAAGAGGGGGCAAAACATGATGGCACACACATCCACCGCATCCATGCTGCACTTCCTGATGATCGTGCTCGCCACGGCCCTCACTGCGGCCTCACCGGTCACGGCACAACAGAACGGCACAGCGGTCCCTGCCGCGTACCGCATCCAAATCGGCTGCGTCCTCTCCCCACTTCACCCAGGTGGGTTCCATGTGTTTGTGCGTGGCTGTGCGCGTGCAAAGGTGTACGTGCAAACGCATTGGTGTTCTCGCTTGCTTGTTGGTTTCCTTGCCACCCCTGCAGCGTGTCGCTGTCGCTGCGTCACTTCCACTTGCTTGTTCGCGAACTCGCAACTCCACGACTTGGGCGTTGTCACATCACCACACACGCACACTTGCTTGCATTTTCCGTGTCACCAGAGGCATGTGATGCCTACGAGAACTTCCTGAACGCTGTTATCCCCGGCCTCTTTGCCTTTCACCGCATGTCGGAACTGGAGCTGCTGGATCAGGTCGACACCCTGGAGTATGCACTCGTCGACACCAAGACCATGTCTTGCCTCGACGTCGAACAAGGATTCGCCCCTCTCAACGGCTTTGGCCTCCCCGTCGTCACAGGTGTGTGTGTGTGTGTGCCTGTGCCTGTGTGTCTGCGTGTATCTGTGTGTGTGTGTGTCTGTGTGTGTGTGTGTGTGTCTGTCTGTCTGTGTGTGTCTGTCTGTCTGTCTGTCTGTGTGTGTCTGTGTGTGTCTGTGTGTGTGTCTGTGTGTGTCTGCGTTTGCCTCTCTGAGCGAGTGTCAGATGTTTGCCTCTCTGAGCGAGTGTCACGTCGTCAACCGCTTGAGAAACTGCTCAACCGCACGAACAGCTTGATTTCTCGCAAGGTGGACCAACTTACCACTCTCCATGTGTGTGTTGATGTGTGTGTGTGGTGCAATCCTGTGCACATTGGCCTCCTGGCTTGTCTCCTGTCTCACTCCTGTCTCACACCAACACCGCACCACACTGCAACATCTGCCCCAACTCAAACACACAGATCCAGTTCCTGGGCACACACGAGCGTGTGCTTGATGCCGTGCTGTCTGGCGATGCTGCTGCCGGCATGGTGCAAACCGGTTTCCTCGAGCAAGCCGCCCATGACGGGCTGCTCAACTGGGAAGACATCGACATCCTCGCCCAGGAGATTGCCATCACCGAAGACGGCACGCGCTTCCCCTACTTCAGCTCAACCCTTATCTACCCAGGTTGGACCGTTGTTGCCACCAGCTTCTCATCGCTGCAGGCGCGCACCGATGTGCTCAACTTTGTCCTCGCCGTCCCCAGCACCACCATCGCCTTCACGTCGCCCGAGAGCTTTGCCGGTGTCGGCGATATCCTGGTGAGCGAACTGAGTTGTGGAGAGGGGCTTGTGTGGTACGCATGTTGCTGCATGCTTCCACTGCGCACACACATGACAGTGCTTGCTTGGCTGCGGCATGCATGCACAACACTCGCGCATTCCAATTCCAATGCTTCCACACACTCATTCCCCACCTATCACGTTCGCTCCAACATGATCACAACCACCAACACAGGAGAACTTTGGCGTGATTGAGCGCGATCTTGTGCGCACGACAGAGACCCGCTGCGTCCGCAAGGCGTCCCACGTCGTCGTCCCGGAGACGAACGAGGGTGCAGCACCCGCCGTTGCGATGGATGATGGCGAAGCACAAGCTGAGCAAATCGATGAACCTGGCGCCGTCGTGTTGGCCGCTTCAGGTGGTGACGCGGGTTCCAACGCGCACACCAGCGAGCTTGTGACCTCCCAGGTCATCTGCCCCAACACGCACTTCATCTTCAACCACGTCGTGCTCGCCACCCGCTGTGCCGGCCGCTCGTGCCCCGATCAAGCCCGCTGCCTCTGCCGCCCATGCCAGAAGTCACCGCCTGTGCTGGTATGTGTGTGCATGAGTGTGTGTGTATGATGTACTTGACTGCCTGCACACATGTTTGTGTGCGTGTTTTCGTGCGTCCATCTGCTTTCTTTTGCTGTGGTTGGTTTCGTTCAACCCAACGTCGCTCATTCAACCATTCAATTGTGGTCTCTGGTTGCTTCCTCTTGCCTGCAGGCACACGTTTCTCCGGTGCAGGTGACAGAGCAGTTCTTCCAACAGGACACCGCCGTGGCAGCCCGGGATGTGCTGTTGACGTCGTGCGAGCGCATGCGTGTGTGCGCATTTTCACAGCAGGCGCAAACGCTCCACTTCGTTCTGGAGGACCAGCTCTATTTTGAGCGACCAAACAAGGACACATTGTTCTACTTTGTCAGCCTCTTCTGGGCAGAAGCAGATGGGACCACGAGCACCGAAGCCGTGCCTCTTCCCACCTATCCAAACCTCGCGGCATTCAACATCACGGGCACCCGCTACGGCACTGGCGTTGTCGAGGTGAGCAGGCATGCACTTGTGATTGCGTCGCCATCGCAGCAAATTCAGAAGAGTGGCTCCATGTGCATTTCTTCACGCCTGCATGAGCCTTCTCACAATCTGAGTCACCCACCGATCTGCCCCCACCCGCTTCGTGCTTTGATGCCCCATCTCACCCAAAACACGCACACACGCGCGCGCATGTACACACATACATACGCACACACACACACATACACATGCAGATCTATGTTGCTGACCGCAACACGGAGATCACCGAGTGGCAGCCCATTGATGGAAGCCCTTTCCTGCTTCAGGTCTCGCCACGCGACTGCCCAGATGGAATGGAGCCCACGCAGGACAACACGTGCGAATGCCCCGTGGGTACGCTGGAAGTCAATGGCGGGTGCATGCAGGCAAAGGAGTATCTGCCCATCTTCATCGGCAGTGCCCTGGCTGTGATTGGCATCGGCGTGTACATTGCCATTGCGGTGGTGCGACGAAACGCAGACAAGCTGTGGCAGATTGACGCGGCAGACGTTGTTGTGAGCGACCCGCCCGAGGTGCTTGGGATGGGCGCGTTTGGTGTTGTGATCAAGGGGGAGCTGAACGGCACCGGCATCGCCATCAAGCGCGTCATGCCACGATCATCCAAGAAGACGACAGACACAAACGGGCGCAGCACTCGCACGAGGGGCAGGATCGCCAGCAGCAAGCGCAGTGCCAAGAGTGCCAGCACCGTTGACAGCAGCAACGTCGACGTGTACTCGATGAACGCGACCAGCACCATCCAAGCATCCAAGACAACCAATGGCTTTGGCATGAAGTTTGGCAACGTCGACAATGAGGCAGCGATTGAGCGGGCGCTGGAGTGGCAGGATGCGGAAGCAAACAAGGCAACAACAGCCCGCACCGGCCACGGCAAGGAGATCTCCAACGCCAAGTGCGTGCGATGGCTGTTTTTGTCGGTGTGTGTGTGTGTTTATGTCTGTGTGTGCATCTTTGTGTGTTGGTGCGCTGGAGGTGAGAAAGCATCACCTGGCTGCTACTCATCAACCCATTTGTTGCATGTTCTTGTTTCGCAGGTCTGAGTTCATGGCGGAGATTCGCCTGCTGTCGCGCCTGCGTCACCCGTGCGTCGCCACCATGCTCGGCGCCATCGTCACAAAGTCAAGCGAAGTTCTCCTCGTCATGGAATACCTCGAGCACGGGTTAGTTGTGTGCGTGCGTGTGTGTGTGTGTGTGTGCGTGTGTGTGTGTGTGTGCGTGTGCTTGTGTGTGTGTGTGTGTGCGTGTGCTTGTGTGTGCTTGTGTGTGTATCTATCTTTCTACCTGTCTACCTGTCTGTGTACGTGTGTGCGTGTGTGTCGCGTGCTGCTTGGGGATGCTTGCAAGCAAACTGGCAGAGCCCTTCTCATCGCTCACAATTGGTTGTCACAACCCATCACTGCTCGAACGCTGCTCCAACCAACGACAGGTCGCTGTATGACTTCCTGCGCAACGACAAGCTGCCGACACCAGACATGTTCCTGCTGCCCATTGTCAAGGACATTGTGTCTGGCATGCGCTACATCCACAACCTCAAGCCACCGGTTGTGCACGGCGATCTCAAGGCGAAGAACGTGCTTGTGGATGGCAACTTCAAGGCCAAGATCTCCGACTTTGGTCTCTCCCAGAAGCAACGCTTTGGCTGTGGCACACCAATGTGGATGGCGCCAGGTGTGTGTGTGTCTGTATGTGTGTGTGTGTTTGTGTGTGTGTGTGTGTGTTTGTGTACATGTAGTGGTGTACTGCTTTGAACGTGCGTGCATGCAAGCACGTGCATATGTATTCGGGTGTGTGTGTGTGTGTGACACAGTTGCGTTCTTTTCCCCCTACCTCAACACCCATACATACCTTTCAACCACGACCACTCACAATCATCGCCAACACAACCATCACAACCCACCATCACAACCATCACAACCACTGCAACCACCGCAACCATCACAACCATGCAGAGGTGCTGCGCGGAGGAGAGGTGACGCGGGAGGCGGACGTGTACAGCTTCGCCATCACCGTGTACGAGATCTACAGCCGACAGGACCCGTTCCCAGAAGAAGACGCGTCGGAGGTGCTGCGTCAGATTGCCGCGCGCCAGGTGCCGGCAAAGCGACCCGACATCCCAGACTCGTGCCCCGTCATGCTGGCTGAGCTTGCGCGGCGGTGCTGGTCCGAGGAGCCCAAGTTCCGGCCAACGTTTGACCAGGTGGATGCGCAGCTGGGCGAGCTGAACATCAGCAAGGTGGGCGCAAGCCTCATCCAGCAGAAGCAGGACGCACTCAACAAGGCCACGGTGCTCAACGACGTGTTCCCAGAGCACATTGCCAAGATGCTGGAGGAGGGCAAGAAGGTGCACCCGGAGCACAAGGACGACGTGACCATCTTCTCTCCGACATTGTGGGCTTCACCAACATCAGCGCCGCAGCTGACGCCAGCAGCGGT